AATACCGTCGGCTGGCTCCAAATTTAGCCGTTGCATCGTGTGCGATCATTTCAAACGGATGAGGGCAACGGAGAAGAGCATTTGAAATGTGAACTAGAAAAAAACGTACCAGTCGCCGGAAATAACAGGACACTGACTGTAAGTCAGCAAAGGAGCACCACAATCACAGATACGATAAGCCTTGGGATGGACTTCGTATAAGGGGTATTGTCCCGATTTCTTCTGCTTGCAGCTGGTTTTGAGGGTCTTTTGAAGAGGACAAAAAACCGGCATACAAACTCTGGAACGACTAGCAACCACTCTTTGGTAAAATATCTATAATTGAATAAGATTTTGAACTATTTCCAAGTATTATTTTTGTTCTGTAAACCAGCGGATCTTAATGTTCAATCAAAAATGCAGGTTGACTTCTGGAGAAACGTGAAAATCGAAGGTGAAATAACGGTGTCCCTTGGCGTATGCTCACTGTTCACGTCGGTTAATTTGAGTACAGCGACGTTGGCGGTTGCTACAGTCCTGAACAACCAGATGGCCATGAATGGACCACTTGGGAGAGAACGGACATGCGAACTACCAGACCTAGGCTTGACAACCTACTTTGAGTTCGATGGAGAATATTACGAACAACTGAAAATAGTACCAATGGGATCACCAGTCAGTGATTTTATCATGGAAGTTGTAACGCGGCAGATGGAGCGGACAGTGCTACCAAATATTAGACCAAATGTACGAATGCGATATCTGAATGACACACTTGTCAACGTAATGGAAAATGAGCAGCCACGAGCGAATCTAATCTGAAAAATGTGTTTCCTGACTTCCAGTTTACAATCAAAACGGAAGGGAAGAGAGACTAGCGTTGCTTGATGTACTGGTCACAAGGAAAACAGATGGTCAACTGTAAACTAAAGCATACACGAGGAGAATGCTCACAGCCCGGAGTGTGAAATTCGTCAGAAACCATTCGAAGTTTCACAAATGAATAGCGTTTGAACAGCTGCGTTCAAGCGAATCAAAGCGCACTGCGTTACAACAGATTTGAAGACAGGAAAATAGAGCGGAGCCACCAAATCCACCTGTAAAGATTTATTGCGGTAAGATTTTTTTGTTGGGACTGAAAATTTGGCAGATTATCTGAGTAATCAGCAATACCCAAGTTTTTTTATAATTTGATTCGTGGGTTACGCCAAGAACACAACTAAATTCGTTCTATGCTGCCTCCCTGCCTCCCTGTAAGGGAAAGATTGTCTTCACAAACCCACTCTATATTGTGGATATTAAACATACCATTTTACTTATCATGGATCCTGATAAATTAGTCCACTTTTTTTACCTATTAAGCCAAATTTTCTATTGCTGTCCTACGTTAGCCTTATTACTTTACGTTGCCTTCAGTACTGGTTGTTCCTAACTAAATACTCCATCGTGTAGCAAGTTCTGCATTTGGAATTGACATATTTACCCATTATGGTGACTGTAAATTACTGTCATGCTCAGTAAAACTTGCGGGTTTTTTATTCGTACCTGCATAAGATTGAAATACAGGATGAATCTTCAAGGCGGAATCTAATGAACTGTTACATAAAACCGTTCTTTTGCTACCTGAAAAATTCTTATGTTACTTTTTGCAAGGTAAGTTTAATGGAGTTAAATGACTGCAGTTTACCTTACTGAGTTTCACCTTGCTTCGTATTTACCGTAACTAATGTCAGTGCTTCCGGAGCTTGGTCTCGCTTATTTCTCCAAAATTTGTGTTACATTAATCTTTTATGAAATGACATGCACCTGCTGAAAATAAACACTCACATGTGCTTGCGTGAGCTGCGACAATAAAGGTCGATTTCTCGCAAGGATAATTTGATTTTATCTCACTGATCAACTTCTCATTGCGAGACTGTGCTGCGTAGATCACAGCCGCGAAAAATTACTATACTCGGGTTTTGTTCTTATTCTTGGTCCTTATTTCCTCATATTCTGTAGCACAGTTAATCTTGATAAACGCAGTCATTTATTGGT